ACGAGGAATCCTTCGCTTAGCCGGGCTTCCCCCGAACCGTTTGCTGCGGGGGCGTTTGCTGCCTGGGCTGAGCTCAGGCGTTCCTGAGACGCAGGCGAGAGGGAGAGCCAAACTGAGGAAGGGGTGGGCAGGAGAAGGAAAAGAAGGAAGGAAGACACAAGAGAGGAGAAGAGAGGCCATTTTTCCTTCACATCTCTTCTTCTCCCGCCTTAGGGGGGGGAGTGTTCACGCCAGCTTTCCCGGGGACACCCCTGAAAAAATGTTGGGCAGGAGGCTAAGCAGATGGGCAAAATTATCAGGAAAATGGGTTCTGGGTTTGTTAGAACAGGGTGGCTTTTTTGGGGGGGTGGAGAAAAGTCGTGGCAGGCAGAGGACCGCACCCCCTAGAGCTCAAGGGTGATGGATCCCTAGGGCCGTAGGGGGAGGGGGAGCTGCCCCTCACCCAAAGAACTAAAAGTAGACATAATCTGAATATTTGAAACTGGAATGCTCGCTGAGATACACAGTCTTCCTCTCTGGCTAGCATTTCCCTAGGAAAAAAATCCAGTGCCTGCTTCTTCTTTTTTAAGCTTCTGCATGTAGCATATAATTTCTTCCTTCGTTGAAATGTGCGACCCGTTCTGTGCAGAACATCAGAATTTAAGATGCTGCAGCCGTGGGTCTAACTTGCACCGTAGAACAGTCGTTCAGTACCTTGCATAGAGTAAAGACCTGGCTAAGGTCGACGATGGCAGGGAAGCATCTCATAGAATCAAAGAATCGCAGAGTTGGAAGGGAACCCAAGGGTCATCTAGTCCAACCCCCGGCAATGAAGTAATCTCAGCTAAAGCATCCATGACCGATGGCCTCAATGGGGTCTGCAATAGAGGGGAGGGGGGAATTTGAGAAGGAACTGCTGACAAAGGTCTTCAGCAAATCCAAGAAAAACTTACTTTAGTTTACATTTTTTTTAAAAAAAAGTAAGATAAAAAAATGAGTGTTCTTTGTGATTTTGCTAATCGTTAACTACATGAAAGGTACTCCCTGATGTTAATTTTCCATTTAACTTCCTAGTTTTCAAATGACTGAATATCTGGACAGATTTTTCCGAGCGCTTGGGATTAAAAGAAAGCAACTGAAAACAACTGTTGTTAGGGCATTTCATTCCGAATCTGATGACAGGTCCCCCCCCAAAAAAATAAATCCTGGCTACACCTATGTCCACATCCCTCTTTGGGGTAATAATCTTCAAGAGCCGCCCCCATGACTTTGTCCAATCCAATTTTAAATGGTTCCTTTTTAAGTTTCAGTCCAGAATATTTTGCCCAGAATGTGTTGTCTTAAAATGCCTGTTCAGTTTTTAAAGACCAGAACCCCCACCCCTTTAATTTCTAATATGTAGGGGATGTTTTGATAATGCATAGTAAAGGTAAAGGGACCCCTGACCATTAGGTCCAGTCGTGGCCGACTCTGGGGTTGTGGCGCTCATCTCGCTTTATTGGCCGAGGGAGCTGGCGTACAGCTTCCGGGTCATATGGCCAGCATGACTAAGCCGCAAACCAGAGCAGTGCATGGAAACGCTGTTTACCTTCCCGCTGGAGTGGTACCTATTTATCTACTTGCACTTTGACGTGCTTTCGAACTGCTAGGTTGGCAGGAGCAGGGACCGAGCAACGGGAGCTCACACCGTCGTGGGGATTTGAACCGCCGACCTTCTGATCAGCAAGCCCTAGGCATAGTAGTGGTGGTCAAAAATGGAAATGTGGGAAACTTAAATGCGAAAATAAAGTTTAATATTTTAACAACAACAACACCAAAAGCCAGTGACGTTGGTGGCCAGCACTTTTCCTGGGGTTTCCAGCAAGTTGGGTTCAAAGCAACAGCTGGGATAGCTCAGTTGGCAAGAGCATGAGACTCTTAATCTCAGGGTCACGGGTTCGAGTCCCATGAAGGGCAAAAGATTTCCCACATTGCAGGGGGTTTGACTTGATGATCCTTGTGTTTCCTCCCGACTCCACAGTGCTAACCATATGTCAGGAGTGCTCTGATGGTGTTTCCTGCTTGGCAGGGGGTTGGACTCGATGGCCCTTGTGGTCTATTCCAACTCTATGATTCTATGCTATGATCTCATGTGTCAAAGCAAAATGAAGCAGAATTGCACATTTAGGATGGCTAGTAGCCGTCTATAGTCCTTTCCTCCACGAATTGGTCTTTGGTTGGGTGGAGCACACACACACACACCCCACCCGCAAGAGCTGTGGGAGTTATAGCCCCAGATATCCGGAGGTCACCAGCGGGGAAAAGCTGGCCTTGAAAAATCTGCCTTTCTCTCTCCTTCTCCTATTCGTCCCCCCCCCCCAAACCCCCGGCAGCTGTTTCCGTTCCACTTCAGGTGTTTTCCAATGGCTTCTGTGCTAAGCGAGGCAATTATTGGGGGGGGGGTGGCGCGTGTGAAGGGACAGAACCGCAGTGCCGAAGGTTGGCTTTGTTCCCAGCACCCAAGACGAATCGCAGAAGGGAAGGGAAGAGGCAAGGTTTGGTTTGGAGAAAGTGTGGCTCGTTGATCCATGCCTCACGCAGGCAGACCTGCCAACAGCTTTCCAGACAGCCTCTTCTGCGGAATCCAACATTTCCAGCGAAGGAGAAGCGTGCAAAGCGCAAGATAGACACCTTAGGGGTGGTTTCGCATCTTTGCTCCTCTCCCGCCCCCAATTTTTTCTAGGTTTCTTTCCTTGCCCTTCCTATCTCTAGTGACACTTATTCCCATCACAGGGTTGCGGACGCGTCTTCGGCTCTATAGGAGCCAGGCACTCACTAGGGGCCGAGGTCCCTTCAGCTCCCCCAATTAAATATCTGAGGGGGCCAGGCGCCCCCAAAGTTGATGGGCGTTGCCATTCCAATGTTGTAAATGTGATCGATTGTGCAGGATGGGGCTCACCTGCCCCCCTCTATATTTTATTCAAGTTGGCGCCCCTGTTTCGGCGCCATTCGCGTTTTGACTTGGTTCTACCCCAATAAGCAAGATTCATGCACCTGTCCTTTGAAATTCACGCTTCTCCAGATCTTGTGATGCCGTTTCCCCAACCAAAAAAGAAGGAAGGAAGGATATTCTTGTGTTTATGATTTTTGGACATGGGCATGAATTTGTGGAGATCCCCTTGCACCCTTCCTCAACTGCCTGTCCCCCCCCCCCAAAAAAAACACACCTCCTGGTTAGATTGCAATCAGCTAAGATTTGCCTTCTCTCTCCCTCACCATCCACCCCGCAGTTCCCAGAAACTAGAGGGTGGCGATGTCATTCTTTTATTCCCAGGGACTTCCGTCTGTTGACAGGGTTGCCCTTTTTTCGAATCTGGAACATTTTATCCCCGCCGAGCAGAACGGATGTTCCTCCTTTCAACAGACACGCACACACACACATACACAAACACGTCTCGTCGCCTTGCCATCAAACGCCCTGTGATATGTTTTCCGACCTTTGGAGACCTTGGCACTGCGGGGCATCGGAAAAGGACTGGTGCCACGTTGGCACGGCGCGCCGTGGCGAGGGTGCCTCCTGTTTTTCTTTCTCCAAAGCGGTCAGCGGCTTGCAGGGGGAGGGAGAGAGGGGGCATCAAAGGGCGTCCCCCAAAAAGCCATTCACCAGGGCTTAAATTTGAGAAACCGTCCTTTGTCACACGGCGCTTGGAAGGGGCTGTAATGTGATCGGCCGTGTGAGCTCGTCCTGGCACAGCCGTCGGCTCGAACCAACCCACCGTGCCAGGCCACAGGGAGAAAATTAAGAATATAAAACAAGGCCAGGTTACCAGATAGGCAGAGTAGGCGCCGACCTATTGGCCCCGAAAAGGTATGGCCCCTGCGCAAACGCATCAAAATAATAATGTGTCATAAAATGCACTTATTGAAAATTTTGGTTGGTAAAATAAAAAAACGCTTTATGAGATAATTTGCGAGGCTCCCACTCCCCAGATTTCGCCGGCCCAGGGGCCTCCTCAGGGTTTTATGCAACACTGACAGGAAGAGAATATTCTTGCAAAAATGAAGCCCCCCAAAAGATGGTTGTTTATGCATGTTAGAACTGCAGCTAGGATTCTCTACGCACAAAAAATATGGAAAGAAGCAGAACCCCCCGCTAAAGAAGAATGGATAAGCAAGGTGGTGGGTTTTGCAGAACTGGCACAGTTAACAGCTAACGCATGAGAACCAAGGCTTTGTGGAAGGATGGAAACCCTTTCCGGATAATTCAAAGAAGTGTTGTTATACCATGAACCCGCAAGCAGGATTCGAACTATGAGCAACATAAAGGGAGTAAAGATTACAGGAGCTTTGTTTAGGTTTAAGAGATAGAAGACAGGGTTGAGCAGGGGGAGGGAAACAGAAATCTCGGGGCGGGGTGGGGGCTCGCAAATCAACTCCTAATACATTTTTTATTTTACCAACCAACAATTTTAATGAACCAATACTCTGCCTATTTGATAGTGGTAGTAATTTTATTATTTGTACCCCCCCCATCTGTTGCCCCAGCCACTCTGGGCGGCTTCCAACATAAAACATCATAAAACATTACACATTAACAAGGACTCCCTAGACAGGGCTGCTTTCGGATGTCTTCTAAAGGTTGTATATAGTTACTCATCTCTTTGACATCCGACGGGAGGGCGTTGCACAGGGAGGCATTGGGTCTGCCCTCCTCAAATATTTTATTGGGGGCAGACAGCAAACAAAGAGACCCCAAACATATTGCAAAGAGTTGCTATCGCTTTGGGGGTTTTTTGGAAGGCGAGCGAAGGCGCCCGCGGTGTCCTTCCCTGAAATTAAAACATAAAAGCCACCCAGTTTTGGGTGCCTCTATTTGGGAAGGTGACTGGAGTGGGGGGGGGGGGCGACAGCCGCACCAGCAGCTCCGCCCGGTTCTCTCCCCCCGCCCCGCGCCTCTCCCCGTCTTCCAGGAGCGGATTCCCTTCCTCTTCCATCATCTAGGGATCCCCCTCTGCCAGGGAGCTGCGCTGCTCCAATTAAGAGAGAGAGGCGGGCTGGCAGCTTTTGTCCTTCGCTGGCGAAGGGAGCGCCAGCCAGGGCGGTGTCAGGCGGACACCCCCCACCCCAATCCACCCTCCCAGGAGCTATATTGTCTGTGTATTTATAGAAGGGCTCTTTTTGGACCCAGAGGGAGGAGGAGAGAGGTGCAGTTATCCAGGAACCAGGCGCGGAGGCAGGTGCGCCCTAGTCTCTCCTTCCAAAAAGGACGAAGAGAGATGGAGCAGCTCGCCTTTCCTTCTCCTCCTCCGGGTAAGTGCGCGCCTCTATCTCTCTCTACCCCCCCGGTGGCAGTTGCGCCCTCCCTGCAGGGATGGGGGAGCCTCGGTGTGGCCGCCTGGACGTCTCCGAAAAGTCCTATAGTTCTGGCTTAGCAACCCGGGGAGGTCTGCCGCGGCTCCCTCCAGCTCTGGCGGCGCGTTTCAGGCGGTGTTTTCGCGTCTTTGCTTGAAGATGTCCAGGACTGGGTCTCCTGCGCGCAAAAGTGGCGCGGCTCGAGGGTCTGTTTCCTAAGGTTGTAGTTCTCATGGGGTCCCAAGATAAGGCGGTTTAAGGAGGGGATTGACACCTCGCCCTTTTTGGACCTCTCCAGGGCTGAATACTGCTGCTACTACTACTTCTACTAATAATAATAATAAACATTAAACCTTAAGAAGCTTTCTTATACAGCGCTAACTTCAGATATCTTCTTGTCTCCTTGACATCTGGGGTTATATAGTTACTCATCTCTTTGCACCCTGGGGCGCAAAGGTCTCCCTCCCTCAGGATGCTGCGTGCTCTCCTTCCTTGGAGGTTTCTAAGCAGAGGTTGGCTGGCCATCTGTCACTGAGGCTTCAGTGGAGATTCCTGCATTGCAGGGGGCTGGACTAGAGGACCCTTGGGGTACCCTTCCAACTCCATCATTCTGTGATTCTATGAGCCTTCTGTGTGCATCGCGTGTGCTCTGCCACTGAGCTGCAGTTCATTTCCCAAGCACAGGGGGGGAAAGGCGCTAGTCCACATGAATTTGAATACAAGGCTGATTTAAGGAGGGGGTGGGTTGCTGTCTGAAGATCCCCAGGGCTTGTGCATGCAAGGTGTGTTCTCTGCCACAGGAGATATGGTGTGGTGTGTGTATCCAAATCACAAATCAGAGGATCTAGTCCTCATCGATCTGAATATAACGGTAAGTTTAAGGAGGAAATGGGGCTGTGGCTCAGTGGGTAGAGCCCCTGCTTTGCTTGAGGAAGGCCTCAGGTTCAGTCCCCAGTGGCAGCGCTGAAGAAAACCCGCATCTGAAACCCGGCCAGCCAGTGATGACAATAACTGAGACAGACCCAAGATTTTTGCAGCTTCTTGTCTTCCTGCCATATTGGTTTTGGAGGAAGGGCCCATGGCTCAGTGGCCTTGGAACTGGAAGGTCCCAATGAATGTAAGATGCAGGCTTGGCCCAAGTCAGACGCATTGGCCTAGCTCCATGTGGCTGGCACTGACCGGCAGCAGCTCTCCAGGGTTTCAGGGGAAAAAGCTCTTTCCTGGCCGGAGAGGTGCCACTGGAGAGCAAACCTATGGCCTTCTGCATGCAGAGCAGGTGTCCTGCCACTCAGGCACGTGGTTCCCTGGAAGGCTTGGGCAAATACCTGGGGAAATATTGTCACCTTTGCCCCAAAGCCCAGCCCCCCACCCTATCCAATACCCATATTTTCATTAAACGCAGGTACCTCAGATCTCTGGGCCGTCTCTGTTTCTGCACCAAATTGCTGATATGAATGTGAGAAGCTTCTTTGGGGGCTTGTGAAGTAGGGTGGTGAGAGAGAGGTCAGGATGCAGTGTGAAGGAGGAAAAATTGCTGGGGGAGTTAGAGTTGGAGGGGGCTGGACGCCTGCGCCGCTGGCCAATGGACCACTCCCCAGGCCTCCTTTGGTTCAGGAACGTCTGCCAGGTCACACACACCCCTTTAAAGGCAGTTGTGGGGGGCTGGCCCTGCTGCCTGAGGTCTGCCTGCCTCTCCTCCACCTCCCCAAGCTGAATTTTATGCTTTGGCTCTGCCCTGGACAGAGTTCAGTTGGTTAGAGTGTGGTCTCACAACGCCAAGGTTGCCGGTTCAATCCCTGCATGGGAGAGCTGCAAATTCCTGCACAGTAGCGGGTTGGACTAGATGACCCTCAGGGTCCCTTCCAACTCTGCAGTGGACCTTCAAGGCCTGGTTCAGTTAGCATGCGTCTGTCCTTGGACATGTTTTACCTTACCAGGATCAGTTCACATGCATTAGAAACGCCTTAACTATTGCAAGATCTTCCTTCTTGCTCTGTAAGGTTAAAGGGTTAGGAGCTTAGATGCAGAAGTTGGTCCATTTTAGCTCTGTTGGGGTATCCAATCACCGCTGCACCAAGTCTTGATTTTCTTCGTCTAATAATTACTTGCCCCCCAATACATCTGAGGAGTTCTCTGTCTCTTTTTCTTGTCTGTTTTTCACGGCCCCATGTGTAAGATTATCCAAGCCCTCTCTTGTTCATTCGATACAGCACCTAATTTTTTTAAAAAAAGAAAGCAACAACAGATATTTAAGTTGGAAAACTGTTCTGCGGATAGCCAAGGCTTCTTATTGATGTCACTGGCACCCTGGGGGTGCAAGGCTGCCCCATGGCGTCGCAGGCAACCATTCTTGGGCCTCCTGGGTAGCCCCACCCTGACTCACACAGGGAGAAAGAGCTCTCTGCAGAGAGCCCAAGGTCGAGTGAGTGGCTTTTTATAAATTTCTATCTAAACACTTCCCCAAAACACGAGAGTGGGTTGTGCAAGATAGATGTTGCACCAGCCACCCTTAGCGGCAGGAGTTTGGGTGGTCACATTTGGGCAGGGTATAAACAATAAAAGGATTATAAATTATTATTATTTCCACGTCACATACCCACCCTGCAAAGGCAAATGGAACGCGTCTTCCATGACGTCTTCAGAACCATCAAAAGCATTTTATCGCTCTCTCCCAAAAGCTGTCAGACCTCAGTGTGAGTTTTACAGTCCCCTAAACTGATAGGATTAAGGGGGGGGGTCACTCCAAAATGATTGTTTTTATCAGTAACTCTCAGTTCCTCATTTCCCCCCCCCCCAGTCTTGGTTATCCTCATTTTCACATCGCTTCGGAACTCAATATTATTATTTTAAAAGTCCCCGTGAAAATTCACCAGCCTTTTAGTGTAAATTTCTCTGTGTAGACAAAAGCATCTTTTCTGAACACATTACCTGGCTGGAGAACGGTGTTGCAAAATTCAGAGTAGTGCAAATTCCCAAGCCCTCAGCGTAAGATTTGGGGCTGTCTTCCACTGAATTGCAATTACTCTGTGAGCTGCCAAGATCATATATAAGACCATCTATTTGGACAATATATGTACAACAGCAATGCTAAAGTATTCTGGTGACACACCATTTAAAGAGATGGACTGGTATCTGAATGCATCAGGGATGGCTAAGTTTCTCTTTAGTCCCGGTGAAACGTAGGAAAATAGGAACAGCTTTATTCTGAATCAGACCATTTTTTGATACATGGACAAACCCACCCAGCCAGTGATGGAAGCTGGGATGTTCTGCATGCACCATCATAACATAGCTGTCAACGTTTCCCTTTTTTTAAGGGAAATTTCCTTATTCCCAATAGGATTCCTCGCAAGAAAAGGGAAAAGTTGACAGCTATGCATCATAATCATTATTGATTGTTAAATTTGTATGCTGCCCTTCATTCGTAGGGCAGTTCGTAGATTGCAGCAGCTCTGTTGTTGAGTTGTTGTTGTTTAGTCATTTAGTCATGTCCGCCTCTTCGTGACCCCATGGACCAGAGCACGCCAGGCAGTGGCGTAGCGTGGGTTGTCAGCACCCGGGGCAAGGCAAGTAATTTGCGCCCCCTAACCCGTGGATTTGCGCCCCCTAACCCGTGGATTTGCGCCCCCTAACCTATGGATTTACCGTAACCCCAGATGTTGCGCCCGGTGCGGCCGGCCCCCCCTGCACCCCCCACGCTACGCCACTGACGCCAGGCACTCCTGTCTTCCACTGCCTCCTGCAGTTTGGTCAAACTCATGCTGGTAGCTTCGAGAACACTGTCCACCATCTCATCCTCTGTCATCCCCTTCTCCTTGTGCCCTCCATCTTTCCCAACATCAGGGTCTTTTCCAGGGAGTCTTCTCTTCTCATGAGGTGGCCAAAGTCTTGGAGCCTCAGCTTCAGGACCTGTCCTTCCAGTGAGCACTCAGGGCTGATTTCCTTCAGAATGGAAAGGTTTGATCTTCCTGCAGTCCACGGGACTCTCCAGAGTCTCCTCCAGCACCAGAATTCAAAAGCATCCATTCTTCGGTGATCAGCCTTCTTGATGGTCCAGCTCTCACTTCCATACATCACTACTGGGAAAACCAGAGCTTTAACTATATGGACCTTGGTTGGCAAGGTGATGTCTCTCTGAAGATAAAGTTCCAGTCCTCATTATTCCCAAACAGGGCTTGTTTAAACAGGAGCGTTTCCCTATCCCGAGTCAGATTGTGGGTCTATCTGTTGTTTACCCTGACAGGTAGCTGTGGATTTCTAGGGCTTCAGGCAAGGGGCATAGTACTCATAGCTCAGTCAGTAGAGCTCAAGACCCTTACACTCAGGGCTGTGGGTTCAAGCACGGGGTATGAAAATTGGGTAGGGGGTGAACATTAGGGAGATGTTATATACTCCAGCAATTAGTTTCTACCCAGGGTCACCTCAGCACTCTTGGAAACAATGGATAGCTCAGTCGGTAGAGCATGAGATTCTTATTCTCTCTTTTTTAAAAAAATTCTTTCTCATTCTCTCAGTTTAACAAAGAAAAGCAAATGTATATGAAAACAATCTACATTTCTTTCAGCTTTCCTCCCCTCCTTTCTGCCATAACATATTTTATATCTTTCCTGAACAGCATATCAAATTTATATCCAAATACTAATATCTCATTATTATTCTTTTTATTTATCTCTAGCTGCACCAGTTTATGTCAACCCTTCTAATTTTTTAAGTTATATTTTCTCCATTCAGTCATAAAAAAAGTCTCTCTTTTTGATTTCTTATTCTTCTGGTAAGTTTCGCTATTCCTGCATATTCCATCAATTTTAAGTGCCAATCCTCCTTTGTTGGAGCTGTTTCTTCTTTCCACCTTTCCTATTCTCAAGGCCATTGGTTCGAATCCCATGTTGGGTGAAAGATTCCTGCATCGCAGGGGGTTGGTCTAAATGACCCTCAGGGTCCCTTCCAACTTGACAGTT